TGACAACAGAATGTTCCATGCACACCTATCACTTACACTGACAGCACATGTGTTTTGCTTCCCTGGCCATTTTGTGGGACATATTTCACATTTCAGTGGTCTTGCTATTTTGTCAGGAGGTTCTTATTATGTTATACTTGTGTAGTTAGCAGAAACATAAAATATCAATAATATACAGCGTTAAATACTTACTATGTATTATGTGTGTTATGGTTTGTGTCTAGATGTCCCCCCAAAAGCCTCATGCAGTCATTGGGTGGGCTTGTATAGTTTATGATTGGTCTATGGTCCAATGCTGGGATTAGGGGTGTGAGTGCTACACCAACCCTGGGGCAGGGGGCCTGCATACAATATAAGGGAGGTTGCTTCCTGCTACTCCTCCCTTTCACTCTTGCTGCTTTTGCTGTTTTCTGCAGCCATGAACTGTTGCCATCTGCCATGTGCCACTCTGCCTTGGAGCCAGCCCAGTATGGACTGAAACTTTCACAAACTGTGAGCTAAATAAACCTTTCTTTCCTTAATTCTGGGCATCAGGAATTTTGTCTCAGCAATGAAAGAAAAGTAACCAAGACATTATGTTTAGAATAAATATCAGTATTTTCACATCAGATGTGTACTTATTTACAAAACCTAAAAGATAACTTCTAGGTTGCTGAAACTTTTAGGGTGCTGAAACAAGTATTTGGCAGTGTCCCAGCCCCAAAGATCTCACCCTTTAATAGACACAAGGTAATATAACAAATAATAATTTTAGGTATCTTGATCAGAAATAAATTCTTATATGAACTTCAATTAAAATTCCAATAGAACTCTACAACAAAAATAAGCTTTCCTTCAACCATCACACCCAAGGCAGTCTTCACACATGACAAATGCATGCTCTGTGCACACATCTTACTTACACTGACAGCACATGTGCTTAGCTTTCCCTTCTCTATTTGGCAGTTTTGTCACCTCTCTTTTCTTCCTGTTTTGTCAGGAGCTTCCTACTGTATTGCACAACATGCACTTAGGAGGGATATAAGATATAAATAAAATAAAGTATCAAATACGTAATGAGTGCTTAGAATGGATATCAACATTTTCACATCTCTTTACTTGCTTACAAAATCTAAGAGATATCATCAGAAATATAAACCATGTGAATTATATGTAAACAAAAACAAGTCTACCACAGAAATATGTTTTGCTTCAGCTGTCATATCCAAGGCAGTCTTCACACATGACAACTGCATGTTCCATACACAAGTATTGCTCACACTGATAGCATGTATATTTTATTTTCCTGTCCTTTCTTGTAGGGCACAGGCGACGTCTTTTTTTGTTGTTTTCCTATTGTCCTAGTAGGTCTTTGTGATGCTGCACCTGCCTGTTCACCTGTGAGCTCACCAGTGTGCTCCATAATTTTTTGCATAGTTCCCTGGGCAGAAAGATTTTGGTTTTCCTCTCCTGTAAATGATCTCTTATGAGCTCCATTCCCAATCCTCTAAGAAAATGTCTCCATGGTATTTTTCACTGGTCATTTTCTTTGCAAACTGTCAAAGTATTTATGTCATACATGATTAGGATCAACTAAAACACAACTTTGGCCAATGTTCTGTGTTTCAAGAGACATCATAGTTACTACATAACTCATCAACAATGTATACTCCACCTTTAGTTTTGTTGTAGAAAGTTTCCATCTCAGGCTTCTATTTTGGTGAGGTTTCCCTATCAATATTTCCATATTGGTACAATTTTGACATCAGCAGTACCAGTTTGTTTCTCTTTGCCATATAGAAGGCCATTGTAAACCTTTCTGAAATCCAAAGATTGTACTATACAATTCCCTGTTTTGAAATTGCAACATTTCATTGGAATTTCTGTTTTGTTTCCATGTACAGTTTCTGCACTGGTCAACTTGTACTGTATTAGCAAATGTAACATCAATTGGAAACTGGTAAACCAATTGTCTAATGTCACATTCTGATTAGTTTGGGAGATGTGAGCAACAAGTTTGTTCACAACATCATTTGGTTTATTACTATATGAATAAGGACCTGATGTCTGAGTTCCAGGATAAGTTTCTAAATTGAAAACATGATAAGTCTTCACATCTATTAGTGCATAAATTTTTATGCCATATTTTGACCCACTGCATTTCCATAAATCTTTTTCATTCTTGAAATCACTGTGAGAAGTCCCTGCTAAGTACAGCAGACCTATGAATGCGTTTGGTTCCACTAGTGAGTTGTCATAATAAATACATTTTTAAATATGGCTGTTGGTGCATAGATAACACTTTACTTGCATTGCAGACCTTGTGTATTTCACAGCATCTTTTAGCATTTTGTCTGTTACAATTTCCAACATTGTATGGCAATGCAGACATTCTGTCCAATAAGTTGCACCCCTGGCAAGACTCTCAGTATATTTTTGGACCTAGTTGTAACATTAGGTCATTCCATCTGGTTGTAAGGTCATTTCCCAACATTTCAATTAGTCAAATATGTACTCACATTGCTGTTTTCTTCATCTGAATCAAGGAGGCCCGTATTCCCTGTGTCTGCATCAGTTGATTCTTGCTCCATATCACGTCCCAGGAACTTTGGCTCACATGGCCAACATCAAAGTCATCACGTCATCATCCACTCATGCCAGTCTTCTGTTATGAAAGCATGTATTTTACCATAATGGATCTTCATCATCCATACATGAATAACCTGATGATTCACTTTAGACCAAAACTTAGAAATCTGGTGTTTCATTTGCCATTGTAATGAATTGGGCTACTTCTCCCAGAAAAAACCAAAAGAAAGCTTTCCTCTTAAAACAAATCTTGGAGTGGTGTGGGTCTATTGGACCCTCTGTGATGCTCAGGGAAACATATGCAAAACAAAGTTACATGGAGCACAAGTGGGGAAAATTTCCATTTTGCCACTTTTGCACATGTGTACCTACCTTACCATTTATCATGTCAAGTGGGTAAACGTTGATTGCTTCCTGTATTCCTCAGGGAAAGGTACAGAGATACACAGCCAGCTACTCTTATGCTAAAATACAAATTTACAGTAGAAAAGTAAGATATGGACCTGCTGGACATAGTCTTATTTTAAAGAGGAAGATAAATTTACATGGGCAAAGAAGCTCAGATTGTATTTTGAAACTCAAGGAAAAATGCTGAATATATAGCAGTTGCATAGTTCTGTATCGAGAAAGCAACAAAGAAGAGTTAAAGAAGACATTAGAATTAGAGCATCAATTTATAATTTAGTCCTGTATTTCAAGATAAAGATAATAAATATGTAAAATAACTGAACAGAGAATACTTATTTTCATGACAAAATATGAGTTTTAGAAGATATGAGCAAATTATATTAAATATCTGTTTCTGTAAACTGATGGTCATTGGAAAAGGTTGAAGACTAAGAAAATGTCTTCCTTTGACTTGAAAGATATGTCTCTGCTATGTGAAAGGAAAGACATGAACTGTATGAGACGTCTATTGAAGCACATTTTCAGTTTCACAGTTTCAATACACATTCCCTTTGCATATGTCTTTCCCATTGATTACACTTTGTTTATTTCCATCTGCTATTTCTATTTAATTAGTCCTAGAGTGTTTCACTCTTTTTCACCTTTCCAATTGTTCCTCTCCTTTAGTATTTTCTGGCTGTCTGGTCATAATAAATTTTCATTTAGTCTTATAATCCATTTGTGCTCTCTACTAATGGTTCATTAAAACTCTTTTTCTTAGTTTTTTCGTGTCATATAGATATTTTTATACTTCTTAAAATGTTTCAATCTTTTATTAGGTAAACATCCAGTAGGACAAATTTTGTAAATATGTTTATGCATTCATTATATTATGTTCCAAATTAGTGACATATCATTGCATATTACAGAAACTCCAGGCTGATGTCAAAACAATGAAAGAAATAAGCCCTCAGAAAATCACAATTTTTGTGCATAATCACTGCTTACATGCCAATTCTTAGCATCAATATTTTAAAATTGATGTGTAGTTTTGGAAGGATCAATGAATATTTACATATTCATTAACTGCAGTATTCCTATATACTTCTTTTTTATATTGATTTCTTACCCAGGTGAAATGTGGGGAAATATATCTAAGCATTTTGTGGTGTTAGTATCTCAAAAATTGCAAGGACTGGTACGTGAGTGAACGACTAAAGGGGAGTATAAGGAGAGAGTACTACAAAAATAGATGTAAAATTGCTAGGGTTTGTACTTTCTCCAGTATTATAGGCAGTGCTACATTCTTGAAAAATACTTAATTTTTTTACTGAGTACTTAGTCTGCCAGTGTAAGTTATGTATATTAAGTACTTTACACGCACTTCCTCATATACTCCTCATAACTACTACTTAAGTACTATAATTATCCTCGTTTTAGAGATGAGCAAAGAGATCCTTGGAGCTAAGCATCCCAGCTCAAGGGAAACAGTTACTCAGTGATGGAGCAGAAATGCACTTTGGCTCTAACTTTAAAAGCCCATTCTCTAAGCCAGAGGAAAGTGAGAGTCCGTGTGCCTTTTCCAAAGATCACTCTGGTGGAAGTATGAGAACAGACTGTAGGGAAAATTCTAAAGTTTAAAGGCAGGGAGACCAGAAAGGATGTAGTTGCAGTAGTCAAGACCTGTTAGCCCCTGTTAAGGGGGCTGTTCGTCAATCATCGGAATTTTACAGAGGAGTAACATGGTCAGACAGGTTATTTAGAAAACCTCTCTGGCAGACTTCGTGAAAGATGGATTGGAGGAGCCAGACTAAAGGCAGAAAAATAAATACGTACCTGTCCTCTTCCTCATCCCATACTTACCTTGACGTCACTCTATCTAGGTTCTAGGAAGTTGGGTTTTGCACACTTTTCTAGGTAGTGGACTTCCTGGTCCGAGCTCCTACAGAGGCTCCAGTGGTGGCGTTCGTCGCCAGCGGGGGTGGGGCGCATGCGCGTGGTTGCTAGGCAACGGCGGTAGGGCTCAGCAGAGATAAAGGCGCCAGGGTTGTGTGTGTAGGCAGCGGCGCCAGAGGAGGAGGTGCACGAGGATGCAGCTGCGACCGCGGCCCCAAGAGGGAGCCTCGGCTGTCTGTGGCCGTGGGGACTGAGGGACGGGAATCAGGCCTGAGGGTCGCTTCACAGAAGAGACTGGGGGCGGCGGTCCCGCCAGAGACTGGGGCCTACTGGGAGGGGAAGGTCCGGGCTGCTGGGTGAGGGCCTCCCCCCCATTCCTTCCCCTCATCCTTCTACGTCGATGGTGGTGAAGTTGGATACGCCAGGGAGCCAAGGCACCAGGTTTCTCCCTTACATCCAGCTCCTCTCTGGCCCCATCTCTTGGACACCTGCGCAGCCACCTCCCTTGCCCGCCAAACCCATCCGCGGCGGCGGGCGGGGGAGGGGCTCCTTACCCAGCTTCCCTGCTGGGGCTGCCTGGAACCGAGGTGGGCGACGACGGTGACCATAGGAGAGTAGGGGGTGAGTAGTGGCACCGCACTCCTCCAGTGCTAGAGCGCCTTTCCGGCCTCTGGGGCCCCGGGAAGAGAGCGAAATACTGCTTTTTCCTCCTGAAGCTACATTTTGCTCGCGGCTAATTCGAGGTAGTTTTGTCTCTCAAAGCCACCACTTTCTGGCCTCAGCTCCTACGTCCAGGAATGTAGGGTCGGTGCTAAAGGCCTGGTTTTGCTTCTTTGCTGCCACAGATGTTGACAACTCTATGTACAGTCTCGCCGCTGGGTCCCTGATTCCAAGACAATCTCTCCCAGTGTCATGGTCGCTCCTTTCTCCTCTCAGTGGTTCTGGTTCTGCCTCTGGCTATTTCTCTCAGGAAGCTCAGCCTGACCTCTTGCTTCTGAAGAGCCCATTCTCTATGCTGCTGTTGCTTCTTGCTCAAGGCTTGAACAGCCAGCTACAGTGACCCCTTACTTTTCAGTTTTCTTTTTACTTACGTGCCAAAAGCTTCTGACTCTTAGCATGTGCTAGTAGGAAGATAGTAATTATATCAGGAAATGATGATGATTGATAATAATCGTAATACTAGTAATAATAATAAGCCAATCGAGCAGCACACACTCTACTTGACTTTTCACCGTGCTATCAAACTTAAGATATATGCAGAGCAGATGATTCGTAACAGGTTTTATGAACTAACTATTTTTCATTGAAAATGACATACTTCTTTTTCATCTGGAATGATGACATACTACTTCGTTTTCATTACAAAACATGTTGGTAAAACCTAAAATGTTCCCAATAAAAATGCGGCTGGATTGTGATCTATCTGTGTATTGTGGTAACCTACAATTGGAAGTAGCCACTTTCCAAAAACATTGGCATGAGGCACTAGATATTCTGGACAAGGTAAAGTTTAAATAAGGTTCCAAAGTTGTGAGCTATATTTTTTGAAAATTAAAAGTACTACCTTTGAGGAATGAAATTCTTTCTTTAAAAGCAGGTGATTAGACTAAACTTCTATTCACTTTGACCCCTTTTAAAATGGACTGAATTTCAATTAATTAGTAATTTTGATTGCAAGGTACTTCTGTGAGTGGACAATAGAAGATGGGTTCTTTCTTACATTTGAATTGCTTCCATTCCTATTGGTTTTTAAGCCATTTCAGGTCTCTTTTATCCAAAAAGAAGTGATGAAAAAGAAGTGCGAGAATGGAAGAACTAAATGTAGTTTTTGTAAATCCTTTTAAACGAAAGATTTTTAAAAAGGATATAGATGCCATTTGTGATTAACTTCAGTGAATCTACTAGAACTGCCTGTTCTCTAATAGTTTTGAACAAAAGGCTTTACTTTGGCAGATTTCTTGTTTGAAGGTCTCTTAGATACGGTTTAAAGTGAAGTAAACTTTGTTGCCACTGGAAAATAATCTTAGACTTAAGTGTTTATTGTTTGTTTGATGCACTAGCAAGCTGACATGCTTTTAGTTGCTAGATTCTAAAGTTAGAAGTGTTTTGGTTTTGAAAAGCTCTTGATGAGTTAAAGTCTGAATTATTTGAAATAATAATTACCACACGAATTATTTGAAATTAATCGTTACCCCATGAACCCCTGCCGTTACTGTCGCATACTTCAAAACCTGGAAGTGATTTGAATAAAATAGAATTTTATTGGAATGACTATGGCTACATAAACATCTCATACAAAAGAGCATTTCCCAAGGTGTCACAGGAATAATATTGGTAGCACATTTTGCAGGCACTGTGAAGACATTGTCCAGTGAACTTTGGAATGAAGATTTTTTGTTTATTTTGCGTTTATAGTGACTTTCAAGCACCTTTTATTTTCTACCTTGTACTGTGTGCCCACTATCATCCTGGGTTATGGAAATAGAACAGAAACAGGTCCCAAGAGTTAAATTGCTTACTCTTCTATGGACAAAATACATATATAAGACATCATGTTGAACAATTGAAACTTAGAATAAAGATTAAGAGAATAGTAAAGAGAGATTACAGGAGGCTGACGTATATCTGAGGAGGTTTTATAGGTTTGATTTGACTTTGGATGTACAGGCATTGTTGAAAGGGGAGGAAGTTCAGTGTAGCATGAGCTATGCCACTTTATTTTCTAAATTTTGAACATGTAACTCTCTTATTTAAACTCAAAGGAGGGACTGCCAGTAGCAATTTATTTCATTTTTGTGAGCATAGTTTTCTTTACTACATACTAGATTACTAAATTAACTATAAATACATATAAATGCACATGGTGTAGAAGTCAGACTTAATATAATCATGCTTTCTCCTGGGACAGTGGTTTCTAAGCCAATGTAGATAATTAAGTTCATATACTGTTATATCCTGTATGTTTTTACTGTCTACTAAGGAACTGTTTTAATCTATGTGCTTCTTATGAAACTGGCCTGATAAGTTTAATTTGAGATGGTTAATATGTTGCAAACCCTATTTCCTGATAAATTGTATAAGTCACATGAATTTTGGTTTATTAAATATATAACTTTGTTTTTACACTACCTTAATACTACTATTTCTACCATTTTCTGAAAATAAACAGAAGAGATATTTCAGTCTTTCAAATGGATCTTATTAAAGTTCTAAAAAATATTATTCATAATGCAACTAACATTCATGTTCAAACTACAAATACAAATCTGTGCAGAACTCATTTTATTTTAGTTCGTACAGCTTTTTGTTGTGTTGAATTGATTACATGACTAATGGTCTGCCAATTTTTAATTTTCTTAATTTTTTGAGACAAGGGCTTGCTATGTAGTGCAGGCTGCACTTGAAATCATATTAGTCCAAGTTGGCCTTGAACTCATGGCAGTCCTCCTGCCTTAGCCTCTGGAGCTGGCATGCTCTACCACACCTGGCTCGGCTGGGTTTTACTCAACTATTATGAGTTAATGTTTGCATATAGACAATCATACTGCAATTACAGATGGTCTCTGACTTATCATGGTTTCCCTCGGGATTTTGCAACTTTAAAATGGTGCAAAAGCAATATGCATTTGGTAGAAACTGTACTTTTAATTTTGATATTTTCCCAAGCTAATAATATGTTCAATATTTTCTATCAATACTGTGCAGCTGCATTGAGCCATGGCTCCCTGTCAGCCATGTGATCATAAGGGAAAACAATCAAGAGTTTACAGTTAACTGTGTTGTTAAAGTATGATTTTTTGTAGGCTAGGTGTATTAAGTGCATTTTTGAATTATGATATTTTCAATTTATGATGAGTTTATTGGAATATAACTCCATCACAATTCGAGGAGCACCTGTATTACATAAAAAGAGAAATTCAAATATTACCCTAAATTGCCTATTGCATTGCTTCAAAAACATTTTAATATATATGCTAATTTATTTCACTTATTCTATTAGTTAATCAAAAAGAAAGCTTTGTGTTATCTTGTTTTGTAAGAATCTTTTTGGTCTATATCTTATATTCAGAGTAATTACTTTGAAGATGATGATATACAGTGTATTAGCTATTGTTATTCTCTTATTATTTTGTGAGAAAATTTTGTTTTATTTTCTCATAAAATAAAGTATATAACTTACTTAAAGGCACTTTTAATTAATTTCAACATTTTCTTTACTATTTTGTTTACTAATTTGTTTAGCAAACTCTTAATGAAAAAATATTACTAAAGTTAATCTCAGTCCCTTTCTGATTATCATAAATTCTGAAACAGTGGGGTCCAAATTACAGTACAAAAAATATTCACTAATGATGTTCCACTAATCAAGAGTTTTTTTAGCCTGCATATATATAGCAATCATGCTGAAAAGATTTTCTGCAGAGTGTCAACCCAATGCTAGTAATGGATTCTCCTCCACAGTAAAAGCAATCAAAGTCCTACTAGAAGTTAGAAAGTATTGGAGTTTCTTTACTGGATATCAGACTATTGACACTGAATTCAAGTAAGTGCTGACAGAGATGAAGGTAGGGAGATCTAGGTTTTATGTATTTAAAAACATCTTCTAAGTGCTCTATTAGGATATTAAATGTACTGGTCTGTGAAAGGGATTAGACGTTAATACAAATTGAATATTCTTATCAGAATACTTGGAGCAGAAATGTTTCAGATTTTGGAGATTTTTGGGATTTGGAATATTTGTATAGGTTTCCCAGTTGATTATCCCTAGTGCCCAAATCCAAAATTTAAAATGCTCAGATAACTGAAACTATTTGAGCACTGACATATTGCTCAAAAAGTTCTGGATTTTGGATTTTCAGATTAGGGATGATCATAAGCAAAACTGAGGCAATTGTTATAGTAAACTGCTTTCAGATGTTTTGAAAACTACAGGGGCAATGTTATTTTGATGCAAATTCAATGAATTTACAAATTCTTACGGTTTCATCAGAATTAGAAGGTAAAATGTTCATTACAATTTACACCCAGTAGTCTCAATAAATTGATGATGTCACAACTTTTTTTTTTTTTTTTTTTTTTTGGTTTTTCTCTGGTACCGGGAACCGAACTCACGACCTTGCGCTTGCCAGGCAGGCGCTTTGCCATTGAGTTAAATCCCCAGCCCCTCACAACTTTTAAAGTAATAAAATTTCAGGATCTTCTTTCCTAGTTCTGAGTGAACAAACTAATAATATACGCATACATGTTGATGCTAATTTGTTCTATTTGTGTTTTGATGCAATAAGCTCTAACACCCTGCATTTCTGAATTTCTGCTATGAAATTCTGACAAAACACTGGAATTTCCACTCTGATTAACTTTAGGCTATACCTAATGATACAGTTGCTGGAGGCTTGTTATTTACTTTTGATGTTCTTTCTAGAGGAGAAAAACTAGTTGTTTCATGCTTTCTACAGTAATGATAAACTTATCTCTACTATATAATGCATTGCTCTTTAGCTACAGATCTTGTATCTTAGGTGTAACAGCAAAGGAAGCAGTAGCAGTTTATTGGATTAGTTAAAATAAAAATTTAGCTCTTTGAAATTTTTAACTAATTAAAATTCCCTCAGACTCTCATC